ACCACCCTAAAAGTGAATGCCTCCTTAAATCTTATGCTCTAGGCACTGCCTTGCCTCAACTCTAATCTCAGCCCTGGTGCACAAATGGGGCAAATCTGACAAATGCACAGTAGCAGTAACTGACTTAAAAGCCCTTTGCAGTCTGAAAGAACCAGCTGTGTCTTCTACCCACAGTTCTGCAAAAAGTTCCTTGTGTATTCATAATAAGTTATCCTTTTTGCTTAAGAAAAAAAAAATCAACAAAATGGCTTGTTTCTATTAGTCATAACCAAAAGAATACTAACCAACAGAACAGGTGATACATACAGCTGTGCCCTATTTATTCTGTATTATTGAGGAACAGGGTATTCTGGTAAGTAAGGTATTCCAGTAAATAAAAACTTTACAGGTAAGTTAAGCTTACCCTTATCTCACCCTCTGCAAGCTACCACTGAATGTAGTGTAGCATTTTATTTTATAAACTATTGTATTCAATTAAATTTTGATCTGCATCTTTTAATGATTTTCTTTGGAAGATGTGAGGCATTTTCAACTTACATGTGAGGAAATTAATAGTTTGGCTGTGTGCTTATTGTATTTCAGCATGAATGGCCCATAGGCACCATTGTGCACAGTTTTGCACAGACAGAAATGGAGGTAAAGAACATTCTAGAAGGAGGCCTTTATGTATAAAAACTGAAAAGGGTGTTTGCTTTGTGGTTTGAAATTGCTGGTAGAATCAATCAAGGGGACTACTGTGTGTAATTCTGACTTTGGTTTACCCTGGGCTTCTCACAGTTTCTGCAATCTGTACTCAAAAACATCCAAGTATAAAACTTGGGTCTCTACCAGCGCTTTCTAGAAAGAGGGAACAATATGAGTGAGGGCTTGAGTCACTTAGCTGGGTCTTGAGGTATGAATGAGGTTTCCACTTTTAGAGATGGAGTAAGTGGACAGAAGTATCATGGTCAATCACTAGAACTGTACTAATCAGGATCTTTGAGTGAGCCCTTCTCCATGTGACCAGGCTCATTTCATCACTGAATGTGCAGGGAGACTCCTCTCCATGTTATCATAAGCGTAAGTGTAACTCTTGTGAAATCTTTATTGTCATTGATAGTTGGCTGTTAATATTGTGATTTTTATGGAATTAGGTATACAGTGCTTAATATATACCTTTGCAGATGTATTTGGCAACAATTTCACTTATGTTCCTAAGCTCTTATAACCTGACTTGCACTTTATACTAAATTGCATGAATCATATCTAGGAGTTCAGAGTTATATACTTATTAACTTATATTCACAGTCAGTAAATGGTGATCAGCCACCATTGAGCCTAATTTATCATTTTATTTTATTGCATGCTTGTGCTCTGAATGTCAGGTTACTTCCCTAAATATTGGTCTTTTGTCCTAAGTTGTCTTAAAAAGTTTCATGGTCTTCTCATTTTACAAATGCAGAAATCAATGGTCTAAAGTGAGGAGTTTATGTCGATCTATACCAGTGAGGGGTCTTTAATTGCCTTTAGGGGGGTAGTTTGAATTTAATTTACAATACTGTAAATATTGTAAATAAAATTATCTCTTTGTTTAAATCCTGGTCTTGGTTCTTCTTCATAAATTTTCTTAAAAATAAGTAGTTTCAGGTGACAGGTGGGGGAAATTAATCATCTGGCTAAGCACTTGTTCTATGACACTGAATAGCCTCTGCAGTCAATTGCCATTGAGTGCAGTTTGGCATTTTGTTATCTAAAACAACTGTGATGTAAATATCCTTTTATGATTCAACTAAAATTTGAGTCTGTTTTTTTTTCAAAAGCTTTATTTGACCTATTGCCTCCTTTTCAGTTTACAAATAAGGAGAATAACTGACCAAGAAGCATACCTTTTTAAGCATCAGAACTCTAATTTTAATGGAAATATTTTTATGACACTTTCCTGCTTTCCTAAACAGAATATTGTACACAAAGCATAATAAGACTCTCATGTAGACAAAATGGTCAATTATTTTACTAAGCTTTAATACTGCAAAGTCTTCAGGACTACTTGGATATATATACAGGTCTATTCCTATGATGAATAAGCCCCATACCACTGTGCTTTCTCAGCTGTCATTTATCATCTTTTATCATTGTCAGTATACAATTGATTCTAACCTTCTTCCTTATCTCATACATAATTGTGTAGTTAGTAGCTTCCAATTTCTTTTTTCTTTTTTGGTTTGGCAATGGTCCATTTTTTTTTTTTTCCAAATGAAATCTTACATAAATATAAAAAATAAAAAGGTTTGTGCCATGGAAGTGGAACAGTGGGCCTAGTGACCTGCTGCTAAGCCTCTATACCTGGTTTCCAGTGCACAACACTGAGGTGTCTGATGGAACCCCAGGCCACCCCCAAACTAATACCACTGGTCAAATCTAAGAGTGACTTCCTCTATTCTGAAGGATGAATTTTTTGGGGGAAATGTCATCTGGTATCTTGCACAAAAGGCAACAACAAAAAAGATCCATGATCTCATTACTCAGTAACCTCTGAGTATAACAAACAAAAAGAAAAGAAAAACATTTATAAAGTTAAAAAATTTAAACAACATAGAAAGATAAAAAAGGAAAAGAAATGGCTTCTTCAATCTTGTGCATACTCACCATTACACCAAGACCTTTCTCCTCAAATGTAACCCCTATTAAGTTATTTGTGATTCCTTCCATAAGGTATATGAGTGTGTATGTGTGTCTATATATGTGTGAATAAAGCCTTTTAAATAAAACTTTATGTATACAGAAGCTATCATACTATACTCTGTTATGCACTTTGTTTTTTCATTTAATAATATATCAGCAATCTTTTTTTTTTTTTTTTTGCGGTACGCCGGCCTCTCACTGTTGTGGCCTCTCCCGTTGCGGAGCACAGGCTCTGGATGCGCAGGCCCAGCGGCCATGGCTCACGGGCCCAGCCGCTCTGCGGCATGCACGATCTTCCCGGACCAGGGAACGAACCCACGTTGCCTGCATCGGCAGAAGGACTCTCAACCACTGCGCCACCAGGGAAGCCCAGCAATCTTTTTTAAAGTAATCTTTGACAGTTGTGTTTCACATAGTTGAGTTATCCAAACTAACTTCCAGATCAGCAGATTACTGTGCATATGACTGATTGTGTTTCTACTGTCTGTGTCTGAACATGATGAGGCATTTTCTAAGAGAAGCATGGTGGTAAAATGCTCAGCTTTCTCCACAAACATCATTTATTCCACAATGTGTCTACAATGGAACACTATCCTCAAAATCATATAAAAAATAGCTATGTTATACTTTTCTACAACAGAACTTAATCACCGTGTGTAACCATGTTTCTATGGAAAACAGAATTTAGAGTTCCAACTTGGAACTGGAAATACCTCTCTAGACATAGAACAGCACAATGGGAGACGTGGGTTTTAGACTCAAAAGACCTCAATTTTAATCCTGGCACTGTCAATACTAGTTTTATCACTTTGAGCAAGTTACTTAACTAAAGTTCAGTTTCTCATATGTAAAAAGGAGATAATGGTATGTATTTCTCAGGCTGTTCTGATCAAATGAAGTAATAGAACATTGCCTGGCACATAATAAAGTACTGTTAAGTCCCTTTCCATTCCCCTATAAAGGGATTAGGATTTCATGATTAGCTTCAAAATCCAATGGACTACAGAAGGGGGATGGGGCAGGGAGTAGGCAACCGAGCAGAGATTCAGGGAAACAAGGGACAGGTGTAGGCATTCTTGATGGTTAGAATGGATAAAGCTCCTACATAGCTTCTTGATTTTGACTAATGCCTCAGTTACTCTTTATTTTTGCTCTCATGGGTATAGGAATTGACCCTCTCCTTTGCTTTATATTTCTACTATCTGCTGCTTTCATTTATAGACCCCACCTCCACTTTCCCTAGACAACAGCAAGGCAGAATTTAGTCCTAATTGCTCCTCCTAAAGTTTCACACAGTTAAAAAGCAGCTGGTATAAAAACACACCTGTAGACTGACTTCTAGAATGGCAGAGTGAGGACCTCAGTGAACTCACTCACTCTCCCTCTGAAACAGCGAAAATAAAAGCAAACAAATAAACTATTTCAGAACTCTGGCATTTAATGAAAGCCACAGAATGAACTATAAAATCCAAGAGGAACTACTGAAACTTGATGCCCTTGAGAAAAGCAGCAGCCCAGGCACCTGAAGTGGAATATGGTCCAGATAGCACATAATTAATGGAAATGCCAGTTCCAATCCTGTCTACTGGCTGGGGAACCCGTGATCTTTATCCCTCTGAGGTCAAGTTCATCTCACTTCCCCCCTAACTACCTGTGAGAATTAAATAATGTTATATGGTGACAACACCAACAACAAAACACTCATGAGTATGGTCATGAGTTATTTACCTAAAAAAACTTGCTAAATCCAACATCTCTAGCTTACACATGAAAGATATACTATTTGCAGTCAAACCATTTAAAAGCTTTAGACTTTGTTTCAACACTGTGCTTCACCTTTCCATGAAGTTATTATCCATTAATATTTCTAAAAAAGAATGACAATAAGGCCAAAACTGTAATCTGACATAAACCAAAATGACAATACTGATATTCTTTGGCAAAGTATTTCTCTGCACTGAGCCTCAATCTTTCTAGTACGTTTATCAAAAGATGATTTCTACGTCTTCCTCTGTATTAGAGTAAGCTGTTTCTCATGCCTAGATGTTTTAAAGTATCCTTTCTTCAAAGCACCAATGCTACAATCCTAACGCCTTTCTTCCTCTGATTTCAAGACAGCATTTTAAAAACAAATCTTAACCCAAACTATCCAATCCATACTGTACCATAAATTTACAGACTCCCAAACATATATACCATGTTGCAGTATAATGGATTTACTTATATTTTACTTTTATATCATCAAAAATAGCTAATAATGACTTTTCTTAATTTGAATTAAATTGCATGGGGAAAACAAGCAAACACTAATACATGTTTTACTAAGATTAAACTCCTACCTTAGGAGAAGTGGAGAGATCTCTTCCTGCAGACATAACTGTGTTTTCATTTACTCCTCCTGTCTTTGGTGAGATGGCTGGTGGGGCCGGGACTTTTCTTTTTACTCTCCTTTCAGTTTCCAGTTCTTGAACTGGACTTACCAAATTATTTGGAGGAGGAGTTGGTTTAGGTTCATAAAAAGGATTTGATCTAAATGAAAGAAGAATTATTGTTAAATGTCTTTATAAGAGTAGTTTACTCCCAATTAAAATACCATAATATTTTCATTTATAAAACTAGAACATACTGAAAATGATAAGGAAAAACCCAAACCAATGATAACTTACAATCTGGAAATAGGCACTTTCAATCTTTTGTTAATCATTAACAATAAAACTTTCCCTTTTAAAAAGTATTTTTAAATCTTTAAAATACAAAGTCATACTCAGCTCTGCTATATACAGACCCTTGGGAAAATGTTTGTAATAAGAGTAAATCCTACATATTCTCCACACCCACAGAAGAGGAAATAAGATGAGAAAACACTGATTTTTTTTTTTTAATGCTCCCTCACCAAACTTTTTTTTTCTTGAATTTCTTCTCTTCCTCTGTGTTAAATTCCCTTCCCATTAGGGACCATCTTTTAGAAGTTCATTCAGTGAGGTTCCTTTTTTTTTTTTTTTGGCGGTACGCGGGCCTCTCACTATTGTGGCCTCTCCCGTTGAGGAGCACAGGCTCCGGACGTGCAGGCTCAGCGGCCATGGCTCACAGGCCTAGCTGCTCCGCGGCATGTGGGATCTTCCTGGACCGGGGCACGAACCCACGTCCCCTGAATCGGCAGGCGGACTCTCAACCACTGCGCCACCAGGGAAGCCCCAGTGAGGTTGCTTTAATAGCAAATTCTTCCAGGCATTGAAAATGTCTTCATTTCAGCCTCAAACTTAAATGATAGTTTAGCTGGGTAGTTTATTCTAGTTGTTAGTTAACTCATCTCAGCACTTTGAAATATTAGCCCCCTGTTGGTTTAATATTGCTCTTTTGTAAGTCATCTTTTGTCTCTGGTTGCTGCCTAAGATTAAGATCTCTTTATTTCTGGTTTTGAGCAATCTTACTAGAACATGTCTAAGTGTGTATTTCTTTTAAGTTTATCCTGTTCCAGAGTCCTTGAATCTCCTGTGTCTGGAGATTCATGTGTTTCACTAGTTCTGAAAAATTATCAGCCATTATATCTTTGATAGCCCTTCTTTATTTTCTCTATTCTCTTCTCTAGAAAATCATATTAAATATATGTTGAATTACCTCTCTCCTTCATATTTTTACAAGTTTTTATTTCTCCTGTACTACATTCTGGATAATTCCTTCACATCTATAATCCAGTCAACTTCTTCACTTTTCATCTGTGTCTAATTTAATGTTCAATTCTCCACGAATTTTTAATTTCATAAGCATATTTCTTCATATGGCTGTGTGTATAATACCTTAGGTACAAAAGATCTGAGTCATTAATCATTTATACATATTTACTTTATAGTCTCTATCTGATAAATCTATCATTTGAATTCCTTGGATTTATAATCCTTGTGTTTCTTTTGTCTCCTGACTCTTTCTCTTAGTAAACTATTTCCTTGTGTATTTTGTAATTCTAGATTGTGAGTTCAGGACTTGATCTGAGGAAATCTTGTGTAGTTGCTGGGAGTCCCTCTGTTCAGAGTGTTTCATGCTTGCATTTGCCAAGCAGTTTAGGAGCCACTTTGTTTCTCACTTTCTTGGCTTGGGGGTTCCCAGATCATCCTGCCAGCATAGCGTCAAATCCACATGAAGGTAGGCCTATGCTTATAACTTCTTAGGGAAGTCTTCTTTTTTCTCTACCTGAGTCTAGCCCAGGCAGAAAATCTTCCTTGTTAACTCCCTTTATGAGTAGATATTTTTCTAGTTACTTATCCGTAAACACAAGTATCTGGTGTTTATGATGATTATTCTTCCTGTTACACAGTAATAAACTTTTATTCTGGCTATTATTTGTTTGTTGCATTTTTTTTCCCAACACCAGTCTGTTCCCTAGAATTCAATATCTTTATGCATAGTAACAAGAGAATTTCTGAGTCTGCAAAGCTAAGAACCAGATCACCCAAACATAATAATTATACCAAGGGAACTCCACTTAGTTATATAAAGTCTGTACTGGTGATAGCCTTCTGTGTTCAATTATGCATATTCTTTTAACTGTAACAGTACCAGATTCATTTAGAACCAATAACGAAGTATCTACATCTCTGCCTAAAGTCAGTCAGCTCTCACAAGACTCAGGGGACCAAGTGTATCTAGACCAGAGAGGGGAAATATACCATACTTGTGATGTCACTCTCACTCTGTACTCATTTCAACAGTTAGTGTCTTGTGACTTCTTCCCATTGAGCTGGGGATATAGCCTCAGAATCTCTCTCACCTCTGCTCAGGCCTTGCAGAGTTATTTTTCAAACTCTAAGAGTAGTTCAAAGGGAGGTAAAAATAAAGAAATGGGCTAAAAAAATTTTTTTTAACTCTAAAACTCAGAAAAGAAAAAAATCTCCCCTCTCCCCCTCAAAACTTACTATTTGCTTAACTGATGTTAAATGTTTCAGGACTGAACAAACCCACTACAATCTAAATGAATTAATTGAATCATGTGAACTATTTGGGTGATATTTAAAAAAATTTTTCCTGGTTACACCTCTCTATAACAAATTTCCACAGTCGTTTGTAAGACGGTAGCTGCTACAATATTCATTATTAATTTGTCATATAAGTATGGTTAGTTTTTAAAAAAAAACTTAGAAGTGTTAGAGGATAGATATTTCTATTACAGAAGGATCTGTGCCTAACAGAGAAAAAAATGACAGAATTCCTTATACAGGCAATTTTTTCAGTATGCTTTATATAATTGAATTTACAATACTAAGTTGCATGAAACTTTTATAAAACTTATCTAGCATGTATAACAAAGATATCTAGATACCGTCCTTTTTCTTCATGTCTCTCTGCCTCCCTCTAACCACCTGAATATTGGTATTCTTTATACATTGAAGGTAAATGCAAGTAGAAAAGCTCAGATAAACTAATTTCCAAAGTTGGTTCCTGAGGCTCATAATAAATACTAGAAACATAACAAAATGGACATTTTCTTGAAACAATTAGAGCTGTGTTTCTCAATCCATTTTACAGTATGACATGTAGTAAAAATGAAATTTGTATGCTATGCTAGAGTGAACATAGGAAGCTGCTGGAAATTGAAGGTACCAAGGACTCCAGCTGCCCCAGACCATGCCTGACAGCCAAGAATACTAGGGGAATCAGTATCTCTGCAGGCCTGCAAGCCACCTGTGAGACAACAGTGTTCTAGGCACCACTGGTTAGGTACTAAATCATAATAAGGACAAGAAGCCTCTACTTACAAGGGCTTTAAATGATCCTCCATCTAGATCAGAGATTTCTAACTAAAACTTAATTTCCTACTCTCTAAGAGTGAACCGGATATACTTCCATGTATATGAAATATCCAGAACAGTCAAATCCATATAGAGAGAAGGTAAATTAGTAGTTTTCAGGAGATGGGGAAAAGGATTAATTGGAACTAACTACTAATATATATGGGATTTCTTTTTGGGGTGACAAAAATGTTCTGAAATTAGAGAATGATAATGGTTGCACGACATAGTGAACAAACTAAAAACCACTGAAGTGTACACTTCACAGTGTGGCATTTTATGTTATGTGACATATATCTCAATTTAAAAAGTGCTATTTTAAAAAGAGTAAATAGGAATAGTACATATATGTGATTATGAACAGTACTCCCTTCTCTGTAATGACAAGAATTATATAATTTCTGATAAATACATTAAAAAAATAAACAGTAAGAAAAAAATTATTTAAGGAATTAGCATAATTTCCACATTCTGTTATCATCTATGATCTGAATAATCTGTTTCAAGGCTTCTTACATCACTCTGAATAAACAAGAATTATTTTTATTCTTATACTGTACACTTGAGTAATAGATTAATTATATCATTAACTCACTGTGAACTAAAAACTCATCAGTTATGTTAAGTGGAAAACTGGACAGAATAACTTTAAATGACATTATTCATTGTTTAAAAATATAATTAATCCAAGAAAAAGAATTACAGAAAGAAAAACAAAAGTTGATTAGAAACAGTACTCGCAAACATAGTGAAGCAAGGGTGGAACAAAATCTGTAGTCTTTTCCTCTCAATTTGAAAAAACAATACAAATGTATTAAAATGAGTGTGTAGCTTCCCTGAATAAACTTCAACAACAATTTCCCTTGAGACACTGACACACAACCATACTAGAAATGATTTCATGCTGGAGCGCAAAAGTCACTTCATAAATGTTTTGAAAAATATTACTGCCCTTCAGTTTTCACTTTTGCTACGTAACCAGAATGGCTGAACTAACCCCCAAACACGAGAAAACTGAGCAACCCATACAGTTGCTAAGTGTAAAGGACACGTGCTAAAAGCCCTGAAGGGTGTACACTTTCTCCTCGGGGCTGATGGATAATGCTAAGTTTCTGAAGGTTGTTTTAGAACATCAAAGAACACAGCACTACTTATTTGTGAGAGTTTTATGTTAGAGGATCCAGGAAGAGTTTGGTAATGGAAGATGAGTCATATAGGCTTTTCACTTGATGAAAGGTCATAAGTTTATTACTGAAGTTAAGAACAAATTCTGGAAGATTTCTGATACTTAAGTTGGACCTACAAACTTTTGGAGAAAAAGATGAGAAATACCAAGTAAGTAACACAGAGTTCTTCCTGGACATTAGCTGATGAGCAATCTTTAGAATTTATGGATGTGTTCCTTCAAAAAAGCTGAATGTTTATAGACTACCTCTGGTAACCTCAGATGATTGAGCAGTTTAGAACGCTCTTTATTCATGGGAAACTTTGTAAAGGCTATGACTTTCATGTGGAAAAAAGAATGGTCAAAAGGAAACACCTAGTCATTCTGATTTTAGTTTTTATTAAGGCATTTTAAAAGTTTAAGCAAACACTGGATGTCTCTTTAATTTGTTAATAGGAGAGAGGAGGGTGTGTGTATGTTGTGTAATATTCATGCATTTTGGAATGACTGAATGCTTGTATTTAAAGTTTGCATTTACATTCAAATACTCTAGGTGTGTGGCTATTACTCAGCACCTACAC